CATATGAAAAATATATGAATTGATCGACAAAGAGGCGTAAATTTCTATTTCCAAATTTGGAAAGATCCCTGACTGTAATTAGATTTGTCAATCAACCAATATCGAATACCCCAGTCTTCCATGCATCACAGCAACTGTTTTTACTCCCACTACTTCCTTTCTGGCTAGCTCACATCAAAAATGCCTTGATCTGTCAATCACTGGCCACAAATTCAGCCAAGGGCAGTATTTTCTGAAGATGACATTCTTGTAAAATTCTCATTAGTGATTGTGGTGGTAATGTTAGAGCAATGGAAGCACTTAAAGATACAATTGGTGGTGATTCAAATATTGCAAATATGAATCCTAGTTCTGTGATGCAGCAGCTATGTTTAATTCTTGCTGACAGATACAAAGAAATGCTTGGCAATCATCTTAGTCCTGATGTTGCTCAGGATATTGCAAGAGTAATCAATATATTTCAAACATTGTAAGGAAGACACCTGAACCAAAGTCCAAATTACAGGTGGGTCCAGAAACACCTCCTGATGCTCAATTCTGGCTGAATTTTGAAGACTTTGTTGCTAGATTTTGTTGCATTAAATCCTGGATTTTTAATGAAATGCACACAGGGGCTGTATTGAATGTTGAGTTTTGATTTGTGAATTATCATGGGTTCTGCACTGCAACTAAGCAGATTGATACCCATTCAACATCAGACAACATGAAGGAATGGTTTATCACATGTACTCGTGATATTATTGTTTAATGCTTGAGATTGTCAAAAATTTATCCTCAATTGTGCTTCAGCACCTGCTGGAAATGGCTTTGTTTGTCTGACATGTTCTAAATGAAATACACCAATGCAAACATCTGCAAAAGAGCAATTTCACTCTAGATAACTATTGATAATCTCCCACCAAATTCAGGTATTGTACATGGTCAGAATCGGGAAAAATATTTTGGGCCATTTGCTGGTTGAGCCTTTATATTTTCACAGGATAGTCCACCAGATATTAACAGTGCATCATACTTGCACCTACAGTTGATTGAAGGAATAGGTATGGGACATGCAGAAAAAATTATTAATAAAAGACCATTCAACAATTTGGAAGAAGCAGTAGAAAAGACAGGCATTGATGGGAAAATATTGAAGAGATTTAAATTCTCATTTCAGTAGTTATGATTCCAACAGATGTTAGATAGCAAATAGAAGGACTTTTATAAATAACAAAATGTAAACCATGCTTTTAATGCATACAATAATTCATTGTCAAAATCTGTAACAAATAAATTATGTGAATATATCATTATGAATATAGTACAGTGCAGAAGGCCTATAATGGGAACTTAGAAAAATAGAAATATCATGTGATTCACACATCAGATTTTTAAAAAAATAAAAAAATACCACCATTGAACTCAGCTTTAAAAAAGGAATTGATTTATGGAATAAAAATTTTTTCTTGATTTTCAATTTGTAGATCTTTCTTGATTTAGTAATTTTTTATTTCAACAATTTCATCATAAAACCATATCAGGAACTTGTCTATGGGATTTATATTTTTTATTTGCAAATTCAGCTACTTTTCCTGTTAGACCTTTTCTGTAAATGTCCATATAA